TTCTATACAGCATTTTTATTTATCGATCTTTTCCCTATAGAAATTTCTATACCGGCAACCAAAATTTATATTTACACCTGCATAGAAGTTTCTATACGAACACTTGTTTTAATTAGAAAGGCATAGAAATTTCTATACGGGGAGAAATGTTTTTCTGGTAACAGAATTAGTATTTTCCGACGGCCTTCACATAGAAATTTCTATAGAGGTATTCAGTTTTAAATCTTCTGCTTAATCGGTAGAGAAATTTCTATACCGATAACCAAATGTTCATCAATATTTCCAGCCCCATCCGCATAGAAATTTCTATACGAAAAGTCAACGGAGTCTTTTGTATAGAAATTTCTATCTGAGGATAGTGTATTTGAAAATATAGTTTGAAGTTACTTAGAAAATTCTATACGATAAGAAGAAACACAATTTTACTAGACATTAACATGAATATGTATTGATAAAATGATTTTACCTTTATCTGGTTTGATGAAATATTCATATACTTTGTATAAATATTGTAAATCTAATATGATAATAAAACATTGACGGTTGAAATACATGAAATGCACTGCTGTTTTTACGTTTTGGGGTTTACAAAAAGGGACTAAACGGTTCATTCTCTTTTTAAATGGTCACGACTTTACAGTAAGTATTTCAATTTCTCTCCTTGCATTGGTAAATTCACCATAAATGAATTACTTAAAGATTACTTTAAAATTATTCAGTAGTTCAAGATTATTTAAGTAATTTTTGACTTAAAATGAGTAGTACAATTTCTCAATATAAGGAAATCCAAGTAATAATTTTTAAGAGTGTATAACTATACAATTGAATAATAACTCAAGGGAAATTGGTAACCTGCCTAGAATGTCAAGATAAGGCTGTCCCAAGGTTAAGAAGGAGCATTATACCAAGCTCATTTGAAAGAATAATTGACTTAACATCAGGATATCATCAAGTCGATACATGCTGATATCCATATGCTAAGTCAATGGAACCCAATAAAATAATAAAACAAAAAAATGAAATGAAAATCAAAGGTTAAGGTCAAAATTGTCCTTTGCAACATTCTTTATCATAACATTTTGCAAACGATGATGCACCCAAGAATCTTTTATTATCAGATATGCACTGACTTGACCTGTACAAGGTCACTATGACCTCAATAACACTTAGGATGCACCTGAACACTATGCCATAATTAACGCCCTACTAAATACCATATTATATGTCATAATGGTCATGAATGACCTGGGGGCAGTTTTATATACTTAGTATGACGGATCCTTTATCTATTAATGCTCGTTCACTAGAAGCAATATTCACTAAAAGCAATATTCACTAAAATTGTCAAGTTTTTCATTCGCCGGGGACTTCCAGGAAGTCGTCTTTAAGGTGTGACTATATTGCCACATTTAGGTTGCATTACAACCTTGTCTTTATGGGTGTACTACTCTCCCCGTCATCCAATTCGGAATAACCATCCACAATTGAGCAAACAATTACACTTTCGCGTGTTGGGATGAATTTACGATCCCCGAGACTAAAATCATCGTTCCCCTTGCTGTGATTAAACAAAATGAAGCACAGAATTCCATTTAGCAAATCCCCGACATATTAAAACCTAATTTAACGTAGATTTTCCCTTTTGGACGAGCCTTTGAATGGCGCTATTTTTAAAAAATTGATCGGATAATCTTTTAAAGCTTTTAAAATTGAACCCTTCAAAGACTGTATCACGACTCACGTACGTGGGTACGTGGGCATAAGGTACAAGTTTTTTTTATACAAAGCCTATATTTAATAAGTTATTATACAATGCAGAAGCCAGACCCTATTAATGTTACATAATTTTGCAGAGCAATTGACTTTAATCAGGACAATGACATCACGAAGAAATCCTGTAGTTTGATTGGTCAGATTTCTCTGGCCTCTCAAAAGGTGACTGGCTTTACTGAATAATCATCTTCGTTCACTCGGCTCCCGTCGGAACGCAATGAAGACCAAGCGTGCGAAGATGCTGAATAATACCATCCCTGGGCAGTCTAAATCGATTGATGAATTCATTTTATATTGTTTTATTCAAGTACATCAAGTAATCTTTTGTAATATTGGATAAATAACGTCTGATCAAATAACTTAATCGCCCAGTTCCTGGTGACAATACACGATGTATCTAAATTCCTCTGATGGATGATTGTCCCACACTTGATTTGCAAATCGTTCAGTGAATGTTGGAAATTCAACCAATGGATGGCAGTGATAACAGGCACCCATCACAATTCTAGGTTGATTTCGGTTTAACACATTGGAAAGAAGCAGATGTATTTAAAAAACACACGAAAACACGAGGACTACTTTCCAAGTAGTGTATTTTAAAATTTGTACAGACACCATCATGCAGAATTTAAGAGTTGTTCAGACACCATCATTTTTCGAAATAAAAAACAGTGACATCTCAAAAAATATGCGTCCTCTGCTTGTAAATTTAGGTTCATTTGAAAGACTGAGATAGTATGCACAAGTGGGGCGGGATTTGAAGCATTTAACAAAGTATAAATATGAAAATTATTCGTTTTTCTTGCTTAATCGAGAAAATCTTACGCCTTGTTCAGACACCATCAGTTGCGAAGGTCACGTGATGACAATCCCTACCGTGTTTCCACAAGAATTTCTTTTTGTGAAGTTCATTCAATTAAAGATATTTATAGTTGATATTGAAATGATTTTGAAATGTCTTGGTTATAAATATGATCAGTTTTGAGGTTCATAAACATATATTACATGGAGGGGAAATATAGAAAATAGTGAAAAAACAATGATATTGTGAAGGAGATTATCAACCAATATATCTGTCATTTTTTTGTAAATATTAGCTTTTAATTTTACTTTTATTATACAATTTCAATATCATATTAACATTAATTGAAGATGCTCCTTTGATGTCATACTATGTTCGTTGTTCATAGCTCAAATATTCTTAAATACAAAGATTTAGCGTCAGCATGTCATTAAGGATGAGTTGTCCAGGAGATGAGTTGTCCAGGGGATGAGCTGTCTCGGGAATGAGTTGTTTTTGGGATGAGTTGTCTAGGGGAGGAGTCATCCGTCAGCCGTTCCCCTTACACCCCCAAAACACTATTAAAAATAAAATCTGAAAAGTGCCCCGACACCATAAAATAGCAAGTTGAAATGGCCAATGTTTTTAGCGGGACAAGCTCTTGCTCCCTCTTCAGCACACCCCTTCTGGCACCCACCAAAAATATTTTGAATTTTTTTCAATTTCATACACTTTGAAAATGCCCAGAAATCAGCAAATATAATCTTAGATTTGTTAAATTTTCCAAATTGAGTGGGCCTCTCTTCACACCCCCCCCAAAAAAAAACAAACAATTGAAATAAATCTGAATTTACATGGATTATATTCATTGTTTCAGACACTTTTTAAAAAAAATTATTCTATTGATTCAAACACTTGAAAGTATCCAGAAATCACTAAACATTATCTTGAACACGGTAAAAGTTCATGCTGAGGGCCCTTCAAGCACAAGCTCCTCCTATTTTAATTTTTTCAAAAGGGCTCATACAAAATATAAAACCAATTAAAGTACTTTAAATAGGTTGAGTGGGTCTAGCCTAGGGGGTACTTCCCCCAATTCGACCCATAACTGCCATTTATTTGCGCGGCAAACATTGACCAGTTTTTTTCAAAATATGAATGTATGAATGGATGTATCCATATCAGCTTATTTTTTCCACTTAGAGCATGAATAGAGCAATCCATAAAATTAGTGTTAGTATGTTTTCTCCAGACAGTTTTTTTTCATTTCTCATTTATTCCATATATAATATATAAAATGCAAAATACAATATTACTGCCTACGTTTTTCAACATTGTCGGCGACATTTCGTTCAGAGGGCCAGTCCATGCATGGTTTACAAAAACAGTTCGTTCAGTACGTACCTTCCTAGTAATCCAACCATTCCACCGACACTTGACACCCAGGATCTCTCCCATATATAGTTATTTACCTTTATACAGCATAGGATGAGACCGAATCAATAGAGGATATCCTATGATCTTTGAGGGATATCATTTTATCCATGAATGGATAGCCCATATCCACAAGTGAGCGCAGCGAATGAGTGGAGATGGGCGATATCCATGAGTGGATAAAAATAATAACCCGAGAAAATCATAGGAAATCTTATTAATCCTATGGTTGCAGATAATTGTAATTATCCAAATCCTTCGGAAAAATGGCCATCACATTCAATTTTTCACCTTGGTTTAGAAATCAATTCAATTCTAGGTTTCGATTGTGTTCGGGTCCTGAACCGAATAAAGTGATTGCATTGAAACATTTAAATCATTTTAATGAGCACATACTGTTTGGAACTATATTCTTGAGCTCAATTAGACAAGGCTGCTATTTGTCAAACAATTTTCGGCGCTAAATTCAAAACTAATGAAAAATTAGTATCCGTCGGATACGATGAATATCATGTCATATCAGCCGGATACGATTTTAGTTGCGCATACCAAAATTATCTTGTGTCGTTATTCCTGTGACAACCGCCACAATCAATTTTTTGTTTCTATCATATTTTTCAGCATTTTTAGTAATTTATCATAATTGATTTGGTGGATGTCAGATTGCCTTACCTTACTTTACTGCTGATCTTCATGCATTAGACAGACTTGAGATTGTTTTTTATTTTTCACTTTGGAAGATCAGTTTTATTTACGATGCAGGCGAAGTGAGAGAGACTGACTAAAGGATGCACTATAAGGGAAGTATTTTTGTACTGTAAATATGTTATATTTATATTTTATGACTGTATTAACTGATATTTATTCAACTTGGAATCATATTTTATTTTTCTGAGATTTAATTCTATTTCCGGGTTTAGCTAACTCACTTACGTTATGGTTTACGACATTTTTTAGCCAATCAGGGCTCGCCTTACTTTTAACCAATCAAAAGTCAGCTTACGTAAAATCAATTGTCTCAGTAGAGCGAGGAACGAACTCAGCATTTTCTAGTCATACTTTCGGGATCACTGACTGCGTCAGCACACTGACCAGTCTCGGACTTTGCTGGCTCTTTCGAAACTTAAACTTGCGAATCGGGATAGTATGAATAATCAGACTCAGAAATCGGGGGTAAGTTTCTAATCGCTTATTTTTTACTGCTTTTTAGGCCGAAGCCAAAATTTATTGAATATTTGTTGCGCAACTTTGCTGCGTCAGTCAAAATTTGTAAAGGTGATCATTTTTGAACTTTGGTTTCTCATCACTATTGAGGCATCTGAGGTTAAATTTATGATTATTTTTGCATTTATATCATAGATTACATTCTGTGAAAACGACGCATTCCCTAGTTTGATATTTTTTCAGTTTTGAGTGATTTGAAAACTTTGTGCAATTTCCGCCATCTTTTTTCCTTTGTTCGGAGAATTGTTATAATTTTTGCGCAGAGTTGTTTCACTCTTTCTCTTGCCATCAAGTATTTTTACAAAATCATGCATTTTGTGCAATAAAGTAACATTTGTGTGAAAGCCGCACACTTTTATTCAATATTTATCGTGATTTTTGAGGCTAAAACTTTGAGTATTTCTCGCAGTGAGATCGGCCATATTGAAAATTCTGGGAATTTTCTCAATATTTTCTATCCCCAAATCGCCTAATATCAGTGTATTCTCTTGCCATCCATACTTTATTTTTACAAATAACATATGCTACGATAATAAGGCGAATGATTTTGTCAGTTTAGTTGAGTTTTCAATTGACATTTTTTTAGCATTCTGAAAGTGAGTTGATCACTTTTTGCCAATTTCTCAGAATCTCAGATTTCTCTCTAGTAACCAGATTTGCAAGATATATTGCATATCTGTTATTTTAAGCACCAAGTTGAACTAATATATCAGGCACAGTCTAAACATTAGTAGTTTTTTATGATTGAAATTGATTTTAGTTTATCCATGCACTCACCCTGTGGACACATCTCTAAGTGAGGGTATTTGCTCAATTTCAATATCTAGAGTATTGACTTTTTGGACCATTGTGCTTAAGGTCTAAGGGACAATATTTCAATACTTTCTATATTTATCATTCAGACAGAGTAGAATTTAGTTAGTGTAAATATCAAGCCAAATGCTTATTTTTGCCAACTTCAGTTAAATTCGTGATCACTGTATATATGTTTTGACATTCCAATCATCTGAGTCTAGTGCTATGATTGTATCTGCTCTATATATTTTTGTAGTCACCTTAGTTGGATAAACCAGTTCATTGTTGAGAACTTTTTATAGAGGATTACTAGTCAGTCTTTAGGTTTTAGCATTGCTTATAGAGTACAGCTAAACTGTCTCAAGGCAATGGGTGAAATCTCAAGATAATAGTTTTAGTCATTTTTGCATAATAAAAAAGCCAGTTATTGAAATCGAGTTTTAGCATAATATTGGAACGCGTTTTGATATCATGGTGGAGATACATCATTTATTTCTCACATGATTAAGTAAATAGTGGAATATCGCGTTCAGTGAAATAGTATTTCAGTATTGCAGAGGGCATCAATCAAAGTACTTTTTAGTCATTCCCTTTAATAAATAAAGGTTTTTAAGAGATATACACTTTTGATATTACATATAACTTTTTGTACAAGAGAGCAATAAAATTATTCCTGTTTTTATATAGATAACCTTAAAATGCTTGTTTTTTGTACAGTTATTTGCTGAGGAGAGTGTGCTATCATATTATGTCACTAGAGTGACATATCAGTTAAGTGCTGTCATTATTTGGAACAGTGCAGCCTACTGCCTGTTTGGAATATATTAGTCTTTTAATCAATGCAGTCCACTGCTTGAGAGTAATTCACTTATTACCAGTGTGACATAGTAAGGTACTGTCCATTGCTGGTGAATATTCAATTATTCATAAATACCTAACATATTATAGTGCTGCCCTCTTTTAGCCAAATTCAACCAACTGAATACACAATAAATTAACTTGTAGTTAAACCCAGAGTCCCATCTATTTTTAATGTAGTGATTTGACATCGGCCCTTTCAGTGATAAAACTAGGTCAGGTCATTACAATTTGGTGGCAGTGGTGGGATCTCTTATTGTGTCATATTTTAGTGAACATAAAACAAGCATTTTACATAATCCAAAATATTGTAAAAATGGCGTCGCGAAGTACAAGTCCGGAGAATAGCCCAGTCGGTGATTCCGGGAGTATCCAGTCTCCTCCTGCATCAGGTGAGGAGACTGTCAAAAAAGTTCATATAACTGACGATGACGTGTCAATGGACATTCCTGCTAGTCAAACAACCGGCGCTATCGCCAAAGACAGCGGTGTGAATACAATGATTGATACGCAGGTTTCGTCAGATCCACATCCAATTCTCAATCCAGCCATTTCATTGCCTGATACAATTAAATGGTCTGAACCAACTACATCGTATGAAACAATCAGTGGCGCGCGTCCAAAGAATGCAAAATTTGATGACGTTCGAACCAAATTGACTTTCGGAGAATCTAAAAGGGAATCACCTTTTGAACAATTCAAATCAAATCTCCCGATACCAAGAAATGATCAATATTTCGGAAATCAGTTTCCTGATCCCATACAAACTGAAGAGGTCACTCCATCGCGTCCCCGTCTTAGGCGTCAAGGTCGCATATATGTACCACCTCATGCTCAATATGATCAACGTGACCCTCAGATTAGACTAAATCAACCACCTCAGTCATTTGAACATCAGCAATTTGCTCCTTCACGTTTTTCTACCGGATCATATGCCCCTCCTTGGGACTATGCCGATATGTACGGACCTCAAATGTATGGTTATCATGATCCTCATTCAATGTATAGACCGCGATTTCCTCCTTCATTGCATCCTGGGTTTGCTCATGCCATGGGTGGATTTCCTCCATCTATGCCATTTCCAAACTATTCTGGTTCAGCGCCACCTTTCAATGTTCAAAATGTTCCTATGAACATGCGCGTCACTGATTCAAATATTGCTCCACCTAGTGTGAGCATTTATGACGTACAAGCTCCTCCCTTATCAACGACCCCCAATACAAATGTCGTGTCAAAAGCGAGAACAAATCTTGTGCATTCTGTAGCAACTACTCCAAGCATTAAAATTCAAAGCCCAAGGGAAACCGTTCCGCTTTCCACTTCTACACCAGTTTCACCTCCGGCCGGAGTTACAAAACCAAATGCGCCAAAACTTCAGCATTTTGACGGCACGCAAAATTGGCCAGATTATCGGAGACAATTTGAAATGATCTCTAGTATCAATAGATGGTCGCCATCCACCAAAGCGGTTCAACTTATTGGTGTATTGCGTGGCAAAGCTCTTTCTATTTTGTCGGATCTTGATGATGTTGAACGAGACAATTATGATGATATCATTTATGCTCTGAATATGAGATTTGATCCGCCACATCAAGCCGGAAATTTCCGTGACAAATTGAAAGATCGTCTCCGTCAACCTAATGAAAGTGTTGCCGAACTTGCGCATGAAATTAGACAATTGGTCCAAAAAGCATATCCGGATGCTAGTGCCGATATTAAAGAAGTCATGGCAATTGATGCTTTCCGCAAGGCTCTGAATGATATTAATTTTGAGTGGGTCGTTAAACATGGTGAACCTCGCTCATTAAATGAAGCTTTGCAGATAGCATTGAAATATGATTCCTTTCATTCCAATCGCGCTAAAAAGATCAATCCTGTCGTTCGAGTGGCAACTAATGAAAACTCCGCAAAGCCGGGTAACCACAAGTCTGATGATTATCAACATTTGGCACAAGAACTTGAAAAAATGCAAGCGGACTTGAAAGAGCTTCGCGATTTTAACACTTGTTGGTATTGTGGGAAACACGGACATCGAGTAGCCGATTGTCGAAAAAAGCGATCTGACTTCTATAAGTGTGGTGAGCCCAAAATTTGCGAAGAGATTGGAGTCTTTGAATAAAACCATAGCTTTATCAAAAACCGCTGGGCCCAGCGTTATCGTAGCGAATGGACATTCTGTCAAATCCCTTGGTCAAATGTCTGTTTTGCTCAATTTAGGACAAGGTGTCAAGGTCATGCAACACTTGCTCATTGCAGATCTAAATTGTGACTTAGTTCTTGGTTACGACTTTATGGTCCTGAATTCTGCTGTCCTAGACATATTAGCAAAGACTTTGTTCATTCAGAATAAAGCCTTTCTTTGTACTCTTGAAAGTAGACTTCCTACAGTGTATCACATCTCCATGACTGAAACTGTTTCCGTGCCTCCATATTCAGAAATGCTGGTAAGGGGTAAGGCTCCAGTTCAGTTTGATAGTGACGATACTGACATGATCATAGAAATGAGTGGTAAGGTTGCCAAACAAAATGTTTTAATTGTGCGCGCAATAGTTGATCCATCAAATGAAAACATTCCTGTTTTGGTCACCAATCTCAGTCCAGAACCAGTGCTTCTTCATAAAGACAGCCAGATAGCTAATGGTCAAATTTTGGATGCGGGGATCGTGGTTCACCGAGCACCACAGGAACCGACACTTAGCCCTGTTATCGAGACAGAAACAATAAATTCCGCTCCTTCAATCAATCATTTGGCAAGCGAGCCGGTCTTAGTAAAAAACAAATGGGAAAATAAATCAACCGAGTTAAAAAATGAATGCACAATACCGGAACATTTAAAAGACTTGTGCCACAGAAGTACGGTAAATTTGAACTAGGATGATGCGAAGAAAGTGACAGACTTTCTCGTGAAAAATCAAGAATTATTTGCGAAATCCAAACTCGATCTTGGAAAAACAAATATTATCAAACATAAAATCAACACTGGGTCTCATGCACCAGTGAAACAATCACCGCGGCGTGTTCCGCCTGCGAAAAAAGAACAAAGTACTAAAGCCGTTCAAGACATGCTGGAACTCGGAATTATTAAACCTTCGACAAGTCCATGGGCATCTCCTGTGGTACTTGTGCCAAAAAAAGACAATACTATCCGTTACTGTATTGATTTCCGTCGTGTCAACGAGCTAACCTATAAAGACGCATATCCACTTCCGCGAATAGATGACACAATCGACTCGCTTGCAGGCTCAAAATTGTTCTCTACATTAGATCTCGCGTCGGGATATTGGCAAGTCGAAATGGATCCTGAAGATTCCGAGAAAACCGCCTTTACAACACACCAGGGTTTATACGAATTTAATGTCATGCCGTTCGGGCTTTGTAACGCCCCCGCGACCTTTGAACGGCTTATGGAATGTATTTTGGCCGGTCTTAGATATGAAACATGTCTCGTCTATCTCGACGACATCATCGTGTTCAGTTCTGACATAGATACGCAACTTCAACGGTTGTCTGATGTTTTCGACCGCTTAAGATCTGCCGGGTTGAAATTATCGCCTAAAAAGTGCAATCTTTTTCAAGAAAGTGTTGAATTCCTTGGTCATGTAATATCGAAGGACGGAGTCCGTCCAAATCCAGCTAAGATCGAGTTGATTCAAAAATGGCCGACACCAAGAAAAGTTAGAGATGTTCAGGCTTTCCTCGGTCTTTGCAATTATTACCGGAAGTTTGTCAAAGGTCTTTCAACTGAAGCTCGTCCCCTAAATCGCCTTACAGAGAAAAATTCAAAGTTTGAATGGACGGAAGTGTGTCAGGAAACTTTCGAAACGCTAAAACAACATTTTCGCGAAACTGAAATTCTCGCTTTTCCGGACATGTCTCTCCCGTTCATTCTTGATTGTGATGCTAGTTCCTGTGGAATTGGCGGAGTCCTATCTCAAATTCAAGATGGCGTAGAGCGGCCAATTGATTTCTTTTCTGGTTCTCTCAACCGAGCCGAAAGGCAATATTGCGTGACTAGGCGGGAGCTTTTGGCAATCGTACGTTCTGTCAAGCACTACCATCATTTCTTGTATGGCAGTGAATTTAAAATTCGAACAGATCACGGGGCCTTGTCATGGCTTATGAGATTTCGAGAACCCGAAGGTCAATTGGCCCGTTGGCTTCAAGTTCTAGGCACATACAACTTTACCATTCAATTCAGGCCGGGTACGCAGCATCGAAATGCAGATGCTTTATCGAGACGTCCTTGTGTGGATTGCTCACATTGTAACAGACAGGAATCTCTGGGTAGGGTCATTTCAGACAAGGTCAAAGTTTCAAATGTAGAAACTTCAGAAACTGTCACGACTGTTTCTGAGAAAACTGATCTTGATCAACTTGAATCAAAAGTAAGGCTGGTTATAACATTGGCTCCTCAGTTATCAGTTAGGGTCATTTCTCAGCAGACTGAGAAAAAGGTTCCTTTGTCAGAAGCTCCTATCACTAGTTGTAACTGGTTAGAAGGCGTTACCAAATCTGAATATGATAAAGCAATCAATCTAGATCCTCTTTTAGCTCCAATGGTTAAATGGATGGAAAGTGCCCATCGTCCTCCTTGGGCTGAAGTCTCTCACAGATCACCAGAACTGAAACGCATGTGGTCTCAATGGGATCGATTGCGTTTACATGACGGTTATCTTGAGAGAAAATGGCTAAGCGGGAAAGATGTTATTTGGCAACTTGTGGTACCAAAATCTTTGATTGAACATGTTCTAAAGGGAAATCATAATGCAAAAGATACTGGTCATTTAGGTGTTGGAAAAACTATTCATAGAGTGAGAAACAAATTCTACTGGTTGGGTTACAAAGCCGACATTACTAGGTGGGTGGCCAAATGTCTTGAATGCCAAAGACGCAAATCTCCTTGTAAAAAGCTGCGGGCACCGATGAAAAACTATAACGTGGGGGCACCGTTAGAACGCGTTGCACTCGATATTCTCGGACCCTTGCCGGAAACTATGTTTGGCAACAAATATGTTCTCATTATCGAGGATTATTTCACCAAATTTCTCGAAATTGTCGCCATGCAAAATCAAGAGGCCAGCACAGTTGCGTCCGCATTTTTGAATGAATTTGTCAGCCGTTATGGTGCACCGTTAATCTTACACTCGGACCAAGGTCGGCAATTTGAAAGTTTGCTCTTCCAAGAATTGTGTTCCATGCTTGATATTATTAAAACAAGAACTACCTCGTACCACCCCCAATCGGACGGGATGGTGGAAAGATCGAACCGAACTATCGAATCCATGTTGGCTAAAGTTGTGGCTAGCGATCACCGCGATTGGGACGAACACCTTCCTTTTATCGCCGCAGCTTATCGTAGCGCTAAACATGAGACAACCGGATTTTCTCCAGCCTTTCTAATGTTCGGACGACATCCACGCCTCATTTCGGAACTAGTTTTTGGTCCTCCTCCTGACGATTCACAAGAAAACATGTCTTACACCCATTATTGTGAAAAATTAAGAGACCAACTTTTGCTAACTTTTGAATCTGCTCGTTCAAATATCAAAATCAATTCCGAAAATCAAAAGAGACTCTATGATGTAAAGTCAACTGGGCAACGAATTCAGGTTGGTGATAAAGTGCTGTTACATGTCCCTGTTGTAAAGCCTGGGCATTCACCCAAGTTCCTCAATCCATGGACTGGCCCGTATGAAGTATCAGAAAAACTTTCCGATAATACCTTCAAAATTATGACAAATAACAAGGCCAAAATTGTACATGAAAACAGACTCAAAAAATTTCAAGGGATAGTTCCAAATCCTGAGTCAAATGTAAAAAAATTAAGTGATTCTGAAAATCCTGGTTTTCAAAAATCTTCAAATGAAAATCAGCACACTGATTTTTCATCTCAGCCTACTGAGGTGCCATCATTAGATGAAGCTCTAGAATATCAGTCGACTGATGTTCTCTCTCAGCCTGCTGAGAGACCTTTGGCCAGGCCCAGAAAAAAACCTGCCTGGTTAAAGGATTATGAAGTAGAATTTTAATTATTTCTTTTGCTTCCAGTTCCCTTGTGATCAGAGAAAGCGACACGGGGTAAAGTGTAAAGCGATATTTCCGTCACAAAGCCTTCTAGGTCGACACTTGGAAATGTTCCACACATTCGACACCTGCAATGTGGGAGATTGCCGTGTAAAAATAATCAAGGGCAATCCTATCAAGATGCAGCGTCATCGAACAACATGCAAGGCTCGCATGGTAGCCAACAGCCAGCTATTCCAACCCGAGGTGGCGTTGACCAGATTGCAACCGTTTGACCCCAAAGACCTGCCCTCAGTGTGCCCCAAGGACATTTTTGATAATGCGGAGTCAGACAATGAGACAATAGTGTATGATCCCTTAGCAAATGTAAGCTTTGATGAAATCAGCAACAGTACCAGTACAAACAAGTCAAATATTCCTGAAGAAACATCAGATAACATTTCTAAGCAATGTGGTAAGCCCAAAATACCACCTAAATCAGCCAACACTGAAGTTAGCCTGAATACATTCATAGACACTTTTGAGAAAATAGTTGGAAAAGATAAACCCATAGCTTCTTCCATCCCTGTTAGAGACACTCGTAAGGTCGTGTTGAAAGAAAGACAAACAAATACCAACAAAATTTCAAAGAAGTCTTCTCATGATATATTGAAATCCAAATGTAAGTCTGTGAAATCAGCTCCTAAGGCAACAACCGTTGCTAAAACGTCAGCTCAATCATCGTCTCAAAAAATTACTGCCAAGCGATCTCAGAAAACCACTACAAAAAGACCAGGACCAGCTCCTGCCCATCAGCCTGTAAAGTATATCAAATTGGACAGTGGGCTGGACTTAACTACTAAATCTACCAACAAAGAACAATCACCAACCCAGAAACAACCTGAGACAATCACCAAACAGTGCCATTGTAGGGACATTTTACAAGAAATTGTTATATCCTGCCCTCATCAGGACAATATATATAGATTGACTGTGATGAAATAATGACTGTTTGTTCATGAAGCATAAGTAAGAAAAAATGTATATATGTTTTGAATTAGTCAGTCTCACTCACTTTGAAGTAGTGTATGCATATTTTTACATGTCCATGGAAGGACATTTTTTTCAAGAAGGGGGGTAGTGTGACAACCGCCACAATCAATTTTTTGTTTCTATCATATTTTTCAGCATTTTTAGTAATTTATCATAATTGATTTGGTGGATGTCAGATTGCCTTACCTTACTTTACTGCTGATCTTCATGCATTAGACAGACTTGAGATTGTTTTTTATTTTTCACTTTGGAAGATCAGTTTTATTTACGATGCAGGCGAAGTGAGAGAGACTGACTAAAGGATGCACTATAAGGGAAGTATTTTTGTACTGTAAATATGTTATATTTATATTTTATGACTGTATTAACTGATATTTATTCAACTTGGAATCATATTTTATTTTTCTGAGATTTAATTCTATTTCCGGGTTTAGCTAACTCACTTACGTTATGGTTTACGACATTTTTTAGCCAATCAGGGCTCGCCTTACTTTTAACCAATCAAAAGTCAGCTTACGTAAAATCAATTGTCTCAGTAGAGCGAGGAACGAACTCAGCATTTTCTAGTCATACTTTCGGGATCACTGACTGCGTCAGCACACTGACCAGTCTCGGACTTTGCTGGCTCTTTCGAAACTTAAACTTGCGAATCGGGATAGTATGAATAATCAGACTCAGAAATCGGGGGTAAGTTTCTAATCGCTTATTTTTTACTGCTTTTTAGGCCGAAGCCAAAATTTATTGAATATTTGTTGCGCAACTTTGCTGCGTCAGTCAAAATTTGTAAAGGTGATCATTTTTGAACTTTGGTTTCTCATCACTATTGAGGCATCTGAGGTTAAATTTATGATTATTTTTGCATTTATATCATAGATTACATTCTGTGAAAACGACGCATTCCCTAGTTTGATATTTTTTCAGTTTTGAGTGATTTGAAAACTTTGTGCAATTTCCGCCATCTTTTTTCCTTTGTTCGGAGAATTGTTATAATTTTTGCGCAGAGTTGTTTCACTCTTTCTCTTGCCATCAAGTATTTTTACAAAATCATGCATTTTGTGCAATAAAGTAACATTTGTGTGAAAGCCGCACACTTTTATTCAATATTTATCGTGATTTTTGAGGCTAAAACTTTGAGTATTTCTCGCAGTGAGATCGGCCATATTGAAAATTCTGGGAATTTTCTCAATATTTTCTATCCCCAAATCGCCTAATATCAGTGTATTCTCTTGCCATCCATACTTTATTTTTACAAATAACATATGCTACGATAATAAGGCGAATGATTTTGTCAGTTTAGTTGAGTTTTCAATTGACATTTTTTTAGCATTCTGAAAGTGAGTTGATCACTTTTTGCCAATTTCTCAGAATCTCAGATTTCTCTCTAGTAACCAGATTTGCAAGATATATTGCATATCTGTTATTTTAAGCACCAAGTTGAACTAATATATCAGGCACAGTCTAAACATTAGTAGTTTTTTATGATTGAAATTGATTTTAGTTTATCCATGCACTCACCCTGTGGACACATCTCTAAGTGAGGGTATTTGCTCAATTTCAATATCTAGAGTATTGACTTTTTGGACCATTGTGCTTAAGGTCTAAGGGACAATATTTCAATACTTTCTATATTTATCATTCAGACAGAGTAGAATTTAGTTAGTGTAAATATCAAGCCAAATGCTTATTTTTGCCAACTTCAGTTAAATTCGTGATCACTGTATATATGTTTTGACATTCCAATCATCTGAGTCTAGTGCTATGATTGTATCTGCTCTATATATTTTTGTAGTCACCTTAGTTGGATAAACCAGTTCATTGTTGAGAACTTTTTATAGAGGATTACTAGTCAGTCTTTAGGTTTTAGCATTGCTTATAGAGTACAGCTAAACTGTCTCAAGGCAATGGGTGAAATCTCAAGATAATAGTTTTAGTCATTTTTGCATAATAAAAAAGCCAGTTATTGAAATCGAGTTTTAGCATAATATTGGAACGCGTTTTGATATCATGGTGGAGATACATCATTTATTTCTCACATGATTAAGTAAATAGTGGAATATCGCGTTCAGTGAAATAGTATTTCAGTATTGCAGAGGGCATCAATCAAAGTACTTTTTAGTCATTCCCTTTAATAAATAAAGGTTTTTAAGAGATATACACTTTTGATATTACATATAACTTTTTGTACAAGAGAGCAATAAAATTATTCCTGTTTTTATATAGATAACCTTAAAATGCTTGTTTTTTGTACAGTTATTTGCTGAGGAGAGTGTGCTATCATATTATGTCACTAGAGTGACATATCAGTTAAGTGCTGTCATTATTTGGAACAGTGCAGCCTACTGCCTGTTTGGAATATATTAGTCTTTTAATCAATGCAGTCCACTGCTTGAGAGTAATTCACTTATTACCAGTGTGACATAGTAAGGTACTGTCATTGAAGAGATAGTCCATTGCTGGTGAATATTCAATTATTCATAAATACCTAACATATTATAGTGCTGCCCTCTTTTAGCCAAATTCAACCAACTGAATACACAATAAATTAACTTGTAGTTAAACCCAGAGTCCCATCTAATTTTAATGTAGTGATTTGACATCGGCCCTTTCAGTGATAAAACTAGGTCAGGTCATTACATTCCCATAAATATTTCGTATCCATAGGATAAAATAAAACATTCCTTTGTCAAAATGGAAGATACAGAGCGCCCGAGGCTGCAGTATGTGACTATGATTGCTCACAGAGAAGGTTTCAAGACATAACTGAACGTCCGATTTGAAATTTTGATTTTTATAGATTAAGCTTTACGCAAAGCTTCGTTCATATTCGTTAGCACAAGCAGAATTGCACTTACGTTCGCCTGTTTGCGTTGTTATTCGATGACAGGGAGATCAATGATTTTTGCTAGACCCAACGCATTTTAGCGAATAAAAGTCGCCATTTGTCACACTTCATAAAACATTTGCAACAAATAGTTATCTAACATTACCATTCGCCATGTTTTGCAATTATGTAACAGATTTTGTAACATTTTCGCTCTAGATTCGTCAGAACTGACCCCATGCGTCAGGCTGCATTTTGGTGGATTCGTTCATGCTATGTTAGAAGGCCTTTAGCTGGTTTTCTGATACATATTTTAATCAAGCTCCTTTAGTAAGATAGTCGGAGTTAAAAGATGAACGACATACGTCATCTTTTCAGAAATAACTCTACTTTGTATCGAAATCAAAGTTACCAGCCTATTATGGCAATAGACATGAGTATAATGATTTCCGTTGAGACAACGTGGAATTTCGCGGTCTAAACACGAAACTCGCTGAACGGGTATCTGAAGCATATAAGTGAGCGCTTGTTTTTAATGCAGGCTAAACAATCACGTTTGCGTTGTGAAAAACATTTGAGACTTTAAGCAATGCACAAAAAATCGAACGGGAAACCTGTACGTATAAATCGCCCTATATAAATGCATGCAGTTTTCTCACATAAAACAATCGTTCGGTCACATGTGTTTAATAGTCCGTTACTTATACTACACATCATCGTGCACTATGCCATTGATAGTTATACAGCTAGTTGTCTACGATACATATTTAAAACATGCTCGTTTCGTAAAATATTCGAAGCTTAAACATGTATGACATACATCATTTTCTTCAGAAATAAATTATACTATGCATCGAAATCAAAATTGCCAGCATAGTATTTAAAGTCATGAGTATAATGATTCACGTTGTCACCAACGTGAAATTGCAAATCTCCTGTACTAAACACATATCTGAAACAGATCAGGTATCTGGTATAGACTAAGTAGCGCTTGTATTGCATGCGCGCTATATAAATTACTGTATTAATTCATTGAGTTTGCGTTCACGGTTGCGTTGTGAAAAAACATCGTTAGCTTAAACCCTTTACTAACAAGTACGTCTGTGAATATTTGAAAAACCTAAATAACGAAAACCTGAATAGATCTTTAGTAAACAGTATGTGTCATCAACAGCCTGTTTAACTTTGCTTGTATTCAGACGATTGAAGATAATTTCAACTATTGTGTAGGAATGTCGAGCTGATATCAGTGTGTACATGAAAACAATAGCATCGCTTTACGTCATGTTCTAACACTGGGTTTTGACAATGAGTTAACAGATTATAACATGCACTAAATTGAATCAGGACTTTAATCTTGAACGCCTTTGTTGGCAATGCAACAGCAGTTTTTAATAAAATGCAACATCATCACTATACCCCATCACATGACGACGTTTAAAAGATCTAGAGATATAGTATACGGTGACGTTGCAAATGGAAGTCGTTTGTTTATTTCCATATTTCAGAATGTAAACTCGGTTTTACATATCTTCCCAGTGTTCTACTATATATTGTAGAGATTTATGCAGAGGTTCGCACTTTATTTTTACTAGAAAAGCCCTATAAACTGAATGACAACGATACAGTATACCCCCTCTATTTGCAACTAGACTTCCCTGCAGCATGAATCACTTTAAACGCAGCCACGTGCGTGGTAGGATAAAGTGATCATCAACATTTGTTACAGGATTAATTGATGTATGTACGATATGGTGCGAAAAGCGCTATTGTTTACTTACTATTCAAAAAAAGGTAATATAACAGCTTTAAACCCTTAAATATATTTTGGTCCTCAGAGCACATTCTTTGCAATAATTATATGAGAGATAATCATTTAATCTAAATGAAATTACACATTCCCAATCAATCCATCTCCTCTCTGATAAAGTAAACCAGATGTAAATTGCAAAAACTTTTTGTGCTTCTCGAGGTCAGAGAACTTCACTATAACAAATAATATAACAAAACAGATAATGTCAAGAAATGCTCATAATGCTAAGACACCTGAGGCCTTATTCATGAAGCCATCGTAGTAAATACGTATGGCGTAAACAAATACGAACCCGCAAACCTGTCGTAACGCATACGTTTGCGATACGATACTGTCTTATTCACAAAACTATGCGCGCCAAAATACGAACACGAACCGATCGTATCATGTTTAAAACACATGTTAGCCACATGGGCACCTGTAAATGTCAGTGTGACATTGTGAATTTACACTTTTCTGGCCAATGTCCACACATTTCTGAGTTAGAATATGAAGTTCTTAAAAATTCATTTTGATATTAAGTCGACATTTTTGCAATTGTAACATAGTAAACAGAGGTTCAATCAATATTGTTGTAGAAATCACTTAATTATCATTTATTTGGTTAGAAATTTCACATACATGTACATTTGCAAATGACCAACTGCCCCAGCCCTACATCTGGGAATAAGGTCATCCATTAGGAGTCGATACCGTCTTATAACTTCGTCAAATCTGCCATGAAAGATCCTATCATGTTTCGTCTTTCTCCGAACAACATCATTTTGCAACAGCAGCAATGCCATTTCACTTCTTTTAATCCGTTCATGGATGACCTATTATTATGACGTCAAGGTCAAATTTGAACGGATTATTTATCAACGAAGAAGCGCAATGCGATGCCCATACGCACAGATCGTAACTAATTTATCCAAATTGATAGCATATGAAAATAGAAAATCAGTGACTTATCATTTAATCCACGATGCTTTAAATTCTTCAAAAACGAATAAACTAAATTGGATCGTGATCGTCTACATACTTTCTAAATGCCTATATATTAAAACATTTGAAAATATAAAGTTTTATTGGTAAACTTTTGAGTTAAAAATGGTACGTTTATACGCACTGGTTGAGCATGGTCTGGAGGTGACGCGTAAATTATGGTTAATTTTACGAACATCGTAAAGTGATCGTATGACGTCATACGAGTGCGCGAGCTTACGTAGCCTTCATGAATACAAAAAAGGCGGTCACGCATCCGTTACGTCAGGTTCGTGGCCATACGTACGCTTCATGAATAAGGCTTCTGATCCCGTGTGATTAAGTTTACTCATAAATTATTGCATCCAAGATAAATAATGCATATATCTTATGAAAGGTAATTACAGAGATATTAAAAAATATGTGCTTGGGGTTCAAACAAAATATTTTAGAAGGTGAAAAAATGAAAATCCAAGGTGTAAAATAACACATTTTTATCAGATATTCATAAATGATTCTGAGCATATGTGTCAAATAAGGTACTTGGGGTTCAAACAAAATCCTTTAGAAGGTGAAAAAAGAAAAATTCAATGACAAGGTGTAAAATAACAATGAACACATTTTTATTAGATATTCATAAATGATTCTGAGCATATGTGTCAAATAAGGTACTTGGGGTTCAAATAAAATCCTTTAGAAGGTGAAAAAAGAAAAATTCAATGACAAGGTGTAAAATAACAATGAACACATTTTTATTAGATATTCATTACTGATTCTGAGCCTGTGTATCAAATAAGGTAAAAACTAAGAATCTAATATTATATGAAAACAATTGTTTTAGACATAACTGATCGCTGTTTCTGTTCTTCAGATATTTTGCCATAATAAATGCATAACTAACTCAGTATATGTCATTTATTAGCATTATTTAACGTACATATATACTTTCAAGTCAGCAGAAACTATTTGTTTGAGAGGAACAGAGATTTTCATTTGATTAGAATATATACAATTATTCTTGTTACAGTGTTTAGAACAATTTCTTCGAAAGTGCATTGTAATTAGGCTAAGTAAACAAAACACAGCATTGGATTATGTTAAAATTTAGCGAAAAACTTCACTCCTTATCCGACTAACTTCAAGTCAGATGACGTGTCGTCGTCATAAGATAATTGAATGATAAGTGTAGATTGTTGATGCATATTTCTAATCTGATCAAAATTGTTCATTCTGGTTTTACTTGTCCGTCTCTTATATATTTATGTATTACCTGTGAATGAGCTCAAACGTCAGAAGGCGTTTAGTACTGTTTACGATGATGCAAATTGCAACGTGATAAGGGATTTAATACCCACACACAATGCATAGAGTGCGGAATCATATCTTTAATCAGTGTAGGTCCAAAGGATCTGAAACCTCCTAGTCAAAATGGCATTATTGACCAGTTGCAATGTTTTTTTCCTATAAAAATCAACTGGTCCATATCAAAAGTAGCCTCATAGTCCCCAAAGGACCGGCCTACACTGTCTCTAACCCCCCTATCACACCAAACTAGTTCTTACCCGTTCTTGCCAGTCCTACGAAAATGTCGTAGAACGGGCTCGATCTGGCTGCGGTCGGGATATATGTCTAAAATAATTAGCTACTTCGTTCATAAACAGTCTTCAATACGTCCATCACGTTCGAAGTTCGTTCAGGTCGCACCACGTCGGTGTGCAACGTAGTATAAACCGTCCCTTAGTCTAGAAGGTAATCATGACCTGATTACAGAACGGTATGGTTGCCATCGAATTTTGAATCAATTCAAAATTCTAAATCACATACCCCGTCCGGGAAAGTTCATGAAGTTCGTAAACAGACCGTAGAACGTTGTACAATGTAGCTACATTCATTCAGTTCGCACACAGTTTAAAACCGATTCGGCAACGTTTTGATGATCACCAGAAAATGTCGAGCATGCTCTAAGTGCTGGAGGACCTACTCGTTCTAGTAGTTTCATGAAGTTTGTAAACAGATCCCAAACGGTTCTTAGTGGGTTCTTAGTACGTCAAATCCGTTCGTGCACAGTTTAAGCCCGTTTTCGAGAACGTAGTGAGAACTAGTTTGGTGTGATAGTAGGGTAGCCCTATACTATCACACCGAACTAGTCCTGACTACGTTCTCGAAAACGGGCTTCAACTGTGTACGAACGGACTGGACGTACTTAGAACCATTTGGGTTCTATTTACAAACTTCATCGGACGTACTCGAACGGGTAGGTCCTCTAGAACTTAGAACATGCTTAAAATGTTCTCCCTAGTAGGGACATGTATTACAACGTCGTGCAATCGGATATCGATTGCAATACGTCTGCATACCGACGTGGTGCGATCTGAACGAACTGCAAATGAGATGGACGTATTGAAGACTGTTAATGAACGAAGTAGCTAATTATTTTAGACATGTTTCCCTACCACAGCCAGATTTAGCCCGTTTTACGACTTTTTCGTAGGACTATGACTGGAAAGAACGGTTGCGGATTAGTTTGGTGTGATAGGGGGGGGGGTAAGGTGTTGTTTTATAATCTTTGTATGGCTGCGAAGCATATAACAGCATATAATACTGTTTCTAATAAAAAATAATAATGTATATCATGGATATATTTAATTTTTTATATAGTCTACAATATATAGATAAAAAATCAATACTGTATTATAAAGTATGGTTTTGTGATGGACCGTCATTCCTCAAGTCAAAAAATTATGAATCAAGATTCACGTAATGTCACACTTATTTACTCTCAGGCAAATATTTATGGTATTTGGTTTTCTAATTTATCATGTCGTGAGGAATTGACTCGGGACATGATCATGATTTGAAAAGCAGTCCTTCCACCATGAAACATTAAAAATGTTGCCGTGATAGAGTCTTATTTCTTCCCATGTCCAAAAACTGGTTGGTTGTGGGCAGGGGCGGCGACGTAATTGGCGAGATTGGGGTATGTTTGACCAGCGGGCACATGAACGATTCCATTGCTGCTCGGGATAGAATGCGAATGGCTTGCTTGACTCCCATGGCCGACGAATGACTGTCCATGTGTTGGAAGTCCGACGTAATTGGCAAGGTTCGGGTAAGTCCCTCCGTTGACGTATATTATACCAGTATTGCTTGTGTGTGCAGGTGCTGGAGCGTGTACTACGTTACTATGGGAATGTGAATGGTGATAGTGGTTGTTGAATGTTCCATGCGCATGCGTATTGCTGTGTGCGTGCGCATGTTGATGGTGATGATGGTTGTTGTAGGTTCCATGCGCATGCGTATTGCTGTGTGCGTGCGCATGTTGATGGTGATGATGGTTGTTGTATGTTGCGTGTGAATGTTGGTGCGTCGGGTAACTAGGCGCATGGGCATGGTGCGAGTGGACATGGCTGTTGTGTCCGTGGCTATGTCCATGATGATGACTGTGATGCGTGTGACTCACATGACTGGTGGTGGGACAAACTGAGGAGAGACTAACACTGTTGCAGAGGTTGCTGGAACAGAAATACCAAACTGACCCCGCTTGTGTGGCGCATTGTAGGTTGACGTTTGCCCCGAATGGAAGGTTGGCGACATTGCCACATCCACGGTAAATATCTGCAATAAATCGTTTAGATAAAGTCTGAGGCACTCTATGCACATAAATCTATAATTGTAACAACTTTCATGCTAATTTTCGAATTTTTCTTTTTTTATTTGCAACCGATTGCATTGACATTCTGAAAGTCATTAAATCTTGTCCCATTTGATGATACGAGATTTATTGAAAACTGTTAGATCGATAGTTTTATGGGACTAGGAAAAATGTCGTACCCCCGTTTGCGTCACGACGAACGAAACAACGTCCTTCGGAGCAGGGCGTCTGAGCAACGCCATTGACAGTGCTAGGAGCTGCGCACGCAGAAGGAGTCTGATGATGCACGTACCCGCTGTAGCTGTATGGATGGAATGTGCAGTCGTAGCAATTCACTGAAAATAAAAGATTTACACATAATACACTTTGACATACTAGTTTCTTCAGGTGAAAGTCACATTTTCAACACAGATCGATCATAATAGAATGCAATGCTCTGTGTACATTACCAATAAAAATGTCCTTTGCAGTGTTTGAAATTCTAAAAACACTCATATTCTGGTTAAGTGATTTGTAGTTAACGCAACTCAACTGATAAAAGGTTGTTAATATGCTAGCACTACTATGAGCAATTTGGCTGGTATCTGTAGAACACAAAGGATTATTTCCCACTCACCGGATGTGGCGACAGTTGTCGCAACGGTTACAGGAACAACTGTAGTTGGTGCAACAGTAGCTGGGGCCGATATGGTCGAAGAAGTTGGGCAAACTGTAGTGAACTGGCCAGAGTTACAAAGTGCCCCTGTGCAGAAATACCACACAGAACCGGCCTGGGTGGCACATTGGAGCGCGGTGTTTGCACCAAATGGAAGATGCGAAACGTCGCCACAACCGCGGTATATAACTACAAATATTGAAGAAAACATGCACTCATGCAGATTCTACTTTATTGTATTTACAATATGCGGCTCGGGAAAAACGATATTTTTATTCGAAACAAATAAAAATTATAAATAGCATAGTTATCCTTAGCGAATTCTTAAACAACACATATAAAATTCTATGAGATAAAATGTATTTAAATCAACATAAATCAGGTGATTTGATCAAGACAATTAATAAAAGGTTTTTACTCATAGATATGGCGCAATGATAATTCAAAACTTACATCCATTAGAATCCTGACGAATGAAACATCTATTTGATGAGCACGTAACTTGTGATACGAGAGCGGTGTCTGCAGCCGTTGCAAGCCCACATGCAGGGAATCCACCATTTGTTCCGGGTAAATAGTTACAATCGTAACATTGTGCCCCCACTGAAATGAAACAATTTTTTGAAATATGATCCATGATATTTTGAACATTATTTTATACCTGAACATCAGTATAAGAAGTAAATGGTGCAAATTTGAAGAAGAAATCTTGAATGGATGTCTTGAAGGATTCTACATTTTGCCATGGAAATAATTGATTAAATTCAAATACGATAAGATATAATAAGGTGTCCTAAAGCCTCTTTTCAACATTGTTTGACTGTACTTAAATGTAGATTATAAACAAATATGAACTTAGAAATATATTCCTAACGTTTTGTGAACGATCGTTATCAAATCTCGTGGTAAGGAAGATCAGCAGAGTGCTACATAAGAGATTAGATAATAGAGATTAGATAATATGTTAGAATTGTTGTTTAATGAGTAATGAAAAAACATTAAAATAAAATTAAACTTATGTCTTACCGACTGATATCAGACTCAGAGAGATGATCGAAAATCCTAAAATCCAACTCATGTTCCTAATGTGTGACTGTCCGAATCAATAATGATGTTGTTTTATACAAATAAAAGTTCCTATAAAATTAATAACATTTAATATTATGTAATATAGGATATTGTTATCACACATATGCACGCTGAACTAACATGAAACAGCTCCTGGCGTATTTAAAAATTGTTATTGGAACACTCCTCACCATTAAGTTAATAATGCTGAAGTTCAAATTAAAAATAATCTAATTTCCCCCATACATATTAATTACTATATCATATCAAGGCGTATATGTTATGTACACATTTAGCTTTTAAATTATTGTTTTTGAATCCCAAAGTTTGGAAACTTGCTCTGCAAAACGTGAAATTATAAATGACTAAAAAAATTATGAAGATTATTTCATAGTACCTGTGTTCATTATTGAATATCCCTTGGTGCAAGAGATATACCTCATCTTCAGAAAGGTGATTAATAATACAATGGGGAAACCGATTGAGAAACGAGATAAGGAGGAAACGAAAACTTTATCATGAACATAAGTAACCCCAAAAGTCCAAACATGTACTCCCCTCCATAAGTTTGGCAAACTTACTCCCCCATTGAACTACGTGTTAAAGCCTCTTTATCTTTGAATTTTTATTTACTGAATCGGCGATGAAATAACTTATAATATTGATGGAAACGTAACTTGCTTTATTTCCAATACCTCCACATTTTCTCAATTTTTTCCTCAATTACAATAAGTCGAAAATTGATGATAAATTTGATGAATTTTTGAAAATCGTCATTCCAATGTAATCCAATGGGAAATGGTAGGTTTGCCACCAATACCTCAAAAATTCAAACGTAAAGAGGCGTTAACACGTACTTCAATGGGGGAGCTAAAAAGGGTCATTTAATTGCTAAATTATTCGGGACACTGGTTATGATCCCTATATTTGCCTAGATACCCTTTATCCTACCCTAGATATTAAAAAAACTGGATATATAAAACGATCAACTAAGCCTGGATAGTTATTTACCTTTGTTTGGAGATTTAATATCATCAATTATCATTTACATATTTTCGTTAAATTACCTTTGGAGATTTTTCAGCAATTTTACCTGAACATGTAAGATATACTTGTACTAGTGTTTTTGCCATCTTAGGGAAACTGTCTTGATCTTTTGTAACTATTATGTTCATCTAAGTGCCGTTGGATATCGCTTGTTATTTTTAGTCATGGGAAGGATATGTACCAATCACGCACATAGTGGGGAATATGACATTGATATAATATTGAACAAATATTTCACTCTATTGAGGTGAATACCTGTACATCTTTCACAAGTGATATTCCACGAAGCCCGGAGGGCAAGTGGAACATCACCTCGCGAAAGTGCTACAGGTATTCACCGAAAATAGAGTGAAATATTTGTTTTATTATATCACTGTCTAGCTAAACATCCCTAATATTATTAAGACATAGGCTAACATTGAAATACATTGAATCTACTCGGTTCGTCTGCAATTTTGACTTACACTGAACTAAATTATTTACACTGAACGAAAACAAATTCTTTGAAAATTCCCGGGAGCGTGGGATATCGCTAGATATCTCACGGTTGTCTTATCTGATTAGCATTGCCATTGAATATCGCCAGATATCCCACGACATGTGACCCGGTTTTGACCAATCATACTGTCGCTAGCTAGATAGTGATATAATAATGTGGATTATCCCATGGTTTCATGGATATATATCGTATACCACATTAAGGTATATTTGATATGTGGATCATAATTTAGCAAAAAATTCTCATTCCATCGAATATCACTTTTAATCTTTCGAATATCACTTCTTAAAAAGTGATATTCGATGGCTTCAAAAGTGAAATTTGATGGTTTTAAAAGTGATATTCGATGGTTTCCATTTTCCCAAAAAAAGTTAAGTCATTTTTAAAAATCATTTTTCAATATATTTTTTCAATTTTTTTCATTTTTTTTTCAAAAATTGCTTTTCATTTTTTTCGCTTTTGATGATTTCCCATGGGATAAACGGAGACCCCTATGTTTTTTTAGAAATATCAATTATATAGACTCATTGATATCAATATCTTCACTCATTCGCTGAGCTCACTCATGAAGATATCAATATCCACTCATGGATATAAATTATATGTTTTTAAAACCATAGGATTCTATAGTATCTGGCGTAGTAAAAGCACATGTTAAATGTCAGCTTTAATAACTATTGTCATTTAGCCTATGAGATTCATCACATGTTAAAGCGCCTGCGCATGCGCCGTACCACTTTATTAAGAAACGTTCTGTAGGGAATTGTTCGCATTCTCTAATTGAATTTCTTATCTGAGTAATTATTTTGAGTTTTGACACTACCAAGGCCAATCTGGCCGGAATCGATCGTCTAATTTGTGGGATAGTCAAGCAGAAATCCATCAAATTAGATAATATACAGAAAAGTAAGTACTAAATGAATTGAAATACTTTACACTAGATTATACTAACACACAGTCTATCTTTATCATTATTACTTTATTCGCCTGTACTAGTTGAACAGAGTAGTATTTTACAAACATATTTACATGAAAATGTAGTTAAAACAGTGATGTTACCGACGCAAATAAATGTGCAGAGGAATTGCTGAATGTACATTGTTAGATGGCGCTGTTTTTTAATAAGCTTTTATTTGTAAGTTCATTATTCCAGATTACCATCATGTTTTCTATTGTTTGACCAATGTTAATGGTGTCATAATGTGAAACCTCTATGCCTGGATAGGCAAATAAAATGTCTAGTTCGTTTATATTTCTCCGCTATCAGCCTGGCGTGCTTTTCACTCATGCCATTTCATGCATGTCATTAGAAAATGATTAACTGACTTAACTTTATACATACCACCAAGGACATATCATAACATGGACCATCATTTTTTTACATGAGTGTTGTGGCAATCCGTGAAAATTCGCATCATTGTTTCATATATGTCATACATTATTCAAAGAGTTCACCACATACTTGGATAAACAAGTCCCTACATATACTAAGTATACAGTGTACCTCACAAAGTGTTGCCTAGGCAACGATCGCTAAATATCCTTTGTTGTAACCATAGGATTTTAATATTTTATGTATACCTCACACAGTGTTGTTTTGGCAACAATTGCTAAATATCATATGTTGTAACCATTGGATTGTAATATTTGATGTATACTTCACACAGTGTTGTTTTGGCAACAATTGCTATTAATCATATGTTGTAACCATTGGACTGTAATATTTGATGTATACTTCACACAGTGTTGTTTTGGCAACAATTCCTAAATATCATATGTTGTAACTATTGGATTGTAATATTTGATGTATACTTAACACAGTGTTGTCTTGGCAACCATTGCTAAATATCCTTTGTTGTAACCTATAGATTTTGATATTTGATGTATACCTCACACAGCGTTGTCTTGGCAAAAATTGAGACGTAGCCTTTGCTGCAAACATTTGCTTCGCATCCACAGCTCCACATACATCCTGTCACATAACCACTTGACGTTTCTAAAGATTTAGAGTCCAGAAAATCGCAAGTTTTGTATGAGCCAATGAAGTCGCCAGTGATCGTTGTCTCTTGGTACACATGACTGGTGTTCGAAACGCAATCTCTAAAACCTCGCGTGTATACAACGATATTGTATTCGGAATAACCAGAATTATCTTCGTCAAATTTGAGAGTGATTCCCGTCTTGATATCAACACATGTGTCCAATTGACCATCTGTTATTATGTATGTCTTCCTTTCCATGAGAGGTCCGTCACCATGCTTGGTGTTGTAGACAATGGGAGCAGCTAGAAAAGTATTCAGATATAGGATTCAGCTGTGCTATGTATACACGCCTAAAAATCGAGCACTGCTCGAAAATCTTTTAACATAATCAGAAAGCTCAAAGTCTTCCCAAGCGAATATACACAAAATTAAACATGAACTTCTTTGTGTATTCCTCAGATTTATCTGTCACAGTACGTTGTCGAAGGTTACATGTGATATAATGTCTAGTTGAACAGATAAACGAGCTTTTCGTTAATCAATTACAATTCTTTTTACAATGCAGGCAAGGTTTTCATTAGGGAATGCTTCATATAAATGAACAGAGTTGTTTTTATTAAAACCATATTGACAAGTAAAAAATAATAGTGTAGTTTTTCCCCTGCCCCTGAGAGTATCGACTGTTTTTATAAGAACATGTTTCTCTAAACTACACAATCTAGGTCTGATAAAGATTGATTTAATAAATGTTTACGTTTTGGCTATAATTTTAGAAACCAGAAATGTACATTGTCAACTCGAGTATACGTTGTCCTTTTGAATTTACAGATCTTAATTCACAGATAACTCTGCAGGAAAGGTATTTTTATAACACTTACTTCGGGGGGGGGGGGCGATGTATTCAAAATTGAAACTTAACAATTACAGTATTACTTCAACTTGATTGAACCATTAATTGCACTTTCAAGATATAGCATAAACTGGATTCATAAAAGTGTAATTTAACAAAACGTAACGAACAGACGCCGAATAATCAACCTATGGTCAAATATCACAACATCATCACTTTCATAAAATAATTAGTACTCAAGAAAACGTATAAAATCACATTTACCTTATCTTCAACATCAAATGTACAAAGGATACTACAATCGTTTAACATCACTTGTTACTCATTAAAAACCCAAAAATGGATTTTGAAATAAAAATATTGAATTTTTTTAACATCTCATGAATAGTACAATAACGTCATTTCTAAGGGCAATATAGTGAAATGTTGGACCGAGGGCCGAAGGCCCAAGGTCCAATATTTCACTATATTGCTCGCAGAAATGACGTTATTAGTATTATTACCACCGTTAACGACCAGGGCTGAAATAGCAAGAAAATCTTACGCACTGAACGACATCTAATTTCCCGGGGAAAAAAATTGCCGGTCCAGAATATATTCTAGATTCTAGACTCCATATGGACCGCCACTATGACGTCACACATTTCTCAGGTCGATATAGTAAAATGAACGCCTTCTAAACTAGCACTAAAATCCCTAGAACTGGCCCGGCAAGGTGGTAATAATTCCAATTACACGGACAACGTACAGTGAAGTAGTCAACGTGTATTTCTGACTTTCTTAATTATACCTTATATTGAATATTTATTAAGTCATCACCCCTCCTAAATTGTGTAGTTTAGAGAAACATATTCTCATAAAACTATTCGACACTCTTAGAAGACAGGGTAGCAAATGGTCAAAGAAAATATGAAAAAACAACATTTTTATACCAATCAATTATATGGGTAGATTCATCATGAAAAAAATCGAGCTCTGCTTTAGATTCTTTTAACGTAATTATTAAGTTAAACGTATCTTAAAGATAATACACATGTTATTAAACGTGAAATCCTTTACGTATTCCTCAGATTAATCTTTTAAAACGTACATCAAACCTACATCATAGCTTTTGCTTCAAATCAGTTATTACATTGACAACGTACATAAAATGTGTACGACGTTATTTTTTGTCACTGTACGTTATCGATGGTTGGGCGTGAAATCTATCAATTCAATCCATTCTGAACCGTGAAATCTATCAATTCAATCCATTCTGAACCGTATCCACTGAATTTGCACTGGGTTCGAATTGCGAGTTTCGACATGCCCAATGCCAGACTAAAGTTGAATTTTAATTGACAATCCAATCGGTATTGTCTAAGAATAGTATTTCCATTTAAACAGTTCCATTTCATGAAAATATTTATTTTCCTCAAAATAATTAAACTATCTATCAAAGTAGTTATTTTGATATTGTTTACATAAAACAAACAGACAAACATTAATACCTGGTTGGCTAAGTGCCATTAGAGGAAGCATGGTCAAATATCACAACATCATCACTTTCATAAAATAATTAGTACTCAAGAAAACGTATAAAATCACATTTACCTTATCTTCAACATCAAATGTACAAAGGATACTACAATCGTTTAACATCACTTGTTACTCATTAAAAACCCAAAAATGGATTTTGAAATAAAAATATTGAATTTTTTTAACATCTCATGAATAGTACAATAACGTCATTTCTAAGGGCAATATAGTGAAATGTTGGACCGAGGGCCGAAGGCCCAAGGTCCAATATTTCACTATATTGCTCGCAGAAATGACGTTATTAGTATTATTACCACCGTTAACGACCAGGGCTGAAATAGCAAGAAAATCTTACGCACTGAACGACATCTAATTTCCCGGGGAAAAAAATTGCCGGTCCAGAATATATTCTAGATTCTAGACTCCATATGGACCGCCACTATGACGTCACACATTTCTCAGGTCGATATAGTAAAATGAACGCCTTCTAAACTAGCACTAAAATCCCTAGAACTGGCCCGGCAAGGTGGTAATAATTCCAATTACACGGACAACGTACAGTGAAGTAGTCAACGTGTATTTCTGACTTTCTTAATTATACCTTATATTGAATATTTATTAAGTCATCACCCCTCCTAAATTGTGTAGTTTAGAGAAACATATTCTCATAAAACTATTCGACACTCTTAGAAGACAGGGTAGCAAATGGTCAAAGAAAATATGAAAAAACAACATTTTTATACCAATCAATTATATGGGTAGATTCATCATGAAAAAAATCGAGCTCTGCTTTAGATTCTTTTAACGTAATTATTAAGTTAAACGTATCTTAAAGATAATACACATGTTATTAAACGTGAAATCCTTTACGTATTCCTCAGATTAATCTTTTAAAACGTACATCAAACCTACATCATAGCTTTTGCTTCAAATCAGTTATTACATTGACAACGTACATAAAATGTGTACGACGTTATTTTTTGTCACTGTACGTTATCGATGGTTGGGCGTGAAATCTATCAATTCAATCCATTCTGAACCGTGAAATCTATCAATTCAATCCATTCTGAACCGTATCCACTGAATTTGCACTGGGTTCGAATTGCGAGTTTCGACATGCCCAATGCCAGACTAAAGTTGAATTTTAATTGACAATCCAATCGGTATTGTCTAAGAATAGTATTTCCATTTAAACAGTTCCATTTCATGAAAATATTTATTTTCCTCAAAATAATTAAACTATCTATCAAAGTAGTTATTTTGATATTGTTTACATAAAACAAACAGACAAACATTAATACCTGGTTGGCTAAGTGCCATTAGAGGAAGCATCCGACAACATTGCTTAGTCCCAGTTATAATTTTCCCAATTGGCAGAGAATTGTCCTGTATATTTTTTGTTATATATTCACTTTCCGAACTTGCGTATGCAAGATTAGTTTGACCTGCCGTATGTCTTCCTGTTACATCCCCAGGTCTGACGCTAATTGTTTGGCCGAAGGGAACCTTGTAAGACTGGTAACCTAAATAACACACACGAGCACATATAATTCGTACAGTTGAGTATAATATCTTATATCACTTGTGTAGAATATGTTCATATACATGTATGCACAAAAGAGAGAAGTCTCTCGTGCATGTAGCTTTGCTGAGTTAATAACAAAGCTGTTTCATCAAAGAGTAAGTATCATTACATGGGGTTCTCATTTGTGATATGTTAGTCCTTTAGAATTTTTAAATGTTAAGAATTGTAGCTAGAGGAGTTGATTATGGTGTTCTTAAAAACGCATTTTCTTATCTTGCTTGAATAAGCAAATCATTGAATCCATGCATAGGCGTATCCAGCTTTCAGTCAGGGGGGTTTGATCGCCAAAAAACTGGTTTCCAGTCAGGTGGGGCGATGCGATTGTAGCATAAACAACCCAAAAAATAAGATTTATTTTGAATTTTACAAATATTGGTGCAGCTTACTTCAAAATTGAGCTAGAAGGTTCAAATAAAAAGCATTTTAAAGCTCTTTTCTTCCTCTTTTCATGGTTTTATATTTATTGTTTATAAGGGGGGGGGTTGCGATCGCTACCCCTATGTATGCAAAATTGGTATATGCTTAGCTCAACCCCAACCGCAGTTTAATAATTCTCTATCATGTTAAGGATACCTTTGTGGTTTTCATCAAACTCGCCTTAGAAGTAGTTCACTATGCTGGTACAAGTATTATGACGATGAGGACATTGATATTATACTTTTCACCCTTTAAGAAATATAATTGTTTCAAATGGTGATTAATAAGAATTTCCCATAACCAAAATTGGCCTAATAAAATATTAAGCACATTCCATCTCAATCAAAATCATGTTGAACTAAATTTTAGGAGATTTTGATAAAACGACACACTGGCGGATATGGGGGGGGGGCCCAGGGGCCCGGGCCCCCCCCCCCTCGGGTGGGCCCAGAAAAAAAAAATTGGGCCCAAAAAAATTTTTGAGCAAAAAAAGGCCTTGTGGCCCCAAAAAGTGGGCCTTTTTGGTCATAAATGGGCCTTCTAAGGCCTTATTTTTTCATTTTAGGCCAAATTTTGAAGAAAATGAGCCTCAAAATTTCAAAATTTGGGCCCACATTTTGGTTTTAGGGGCCTAAATAAATTTTCCGCGCAAGCGCAGACATTTTTTTCTCAGACAAGAACTTTGGCCCCCCCACCTTGTTGGTTCCCAGATCCGCCCCTGCGACAGATGTACTTTTATAGCATATATGACTCGAACACGATGAAATCGATATCTAAGCACAAATGCCAATGAAAAGGACCAACAACTGTGAAGAAATCTAGCAAGAAAATCAAACTTTATTAAGTCTAAACCTGTCATGAGAAAAACATACCCTATATTATATCCAAAAAGTATGACCTAACGTGAAAATAAATAATGTCTAAGATCCTCCCCTCCAATCCAGAACCAACTAAATTATCACTTTTTACAATTTGAAGAATATAATTAACATGGTAGCGATTGCACATTATAATCTGCGGTATTACCTAAATTAAACGTTTACCAATTTTGTTTTACCTTTCTCAGATAAGCTTTTACTCCATAGACGCAATGATTTAATAATATGAGCAAAATGATTTTTTCTGTTTTTGGGACATCATTTAGTGAATATTTTATAACATGTGCACACGAGATTTATCTAGTATCCTAGGTAAGAGAAAGAGGGGGAGAAACCTAGGGTTTAAAGATGACATACGCTTATAATGTAAATCTGTATTGAGATGACATCGTCGCTGATTGGTTTAGCGAGTCGATCATTGATTGTTTTAAAACTAGGTCAATTTGAAAACTTTGAAGACCAAGATGGAGGGTAAACAAATATACGTACTTTCGGGAAAGGAGGTGCGCGAAGGAGGAAATTGTATGTCATCAATTGAATCATGGGGTTATCCCTCCTCTTGGAAAGAGATAACTGCCAAACAGAAGCAACGTTTAAATAGTACGGAAAACGTTCAGAATGCCGGACGAGGCAGCTTATCAAAAACAAATATTCACCATAATGATAAACTATGATGTTGCACTCACCAGTCCCAGCGGGAACAATCTCATTCTTTCCGACTAGTTCGTATCCACCGTCAACCAAAGGTCTCCATATACCTGCCCAAAACGGATTGGTGTTTTCAGCATAGTATTGCCATTCGAGAATCTCGCCATGGGCTTCGATATTTAGTGTTGTAAATATCATCAGATCTGTCCCAGCTATATTGATGCCCAAATCTTGCACTGAACCCCCCATTGCATGAATGGGGTAACTTTCGGGTACTAAAATCGTAATATTTTTACCTAATAACATTTAGCAAATGAAATATGTAGCAATTTAAAAGCCAACTTACATCGCAACCCCAACTTCTCATGTATGGGGTAATCTTAAATCAAAATGTGTTGACCAATTACAATTTATCAAATGGATATTGCATAAATTTGAGAGCACTCCTCACTGCAATTCCATTGCATGAATGGGGTTACATTTGGTTACCGGTTACTGAATAGAAACGACTAGTCTCTGTTTGGAGAACGAAGTTCATCGTTACGCCAAGTTTGAAGAATTTTGATATTTTTACATATTGAAGATTTAAATATCCTCTTTTGAATATCCATAATTTAATTTTGGTGGTATTTCTTTATTTTTCATGAAATGATTAGCGCAGTACACCGATGGACATTTGTCTCTCTAAAACGAGACTTGTCTTTTATTGAATCTAACTGTAATCTAATGTAACTGCACATTACGCCTGCTTTTGACAATTTTGATACTCTACAGTACATCTTGAAGATTTAAATGTTTTCTTTTGGATATTCATAATTCAATTTGAGTGATATTTATATATTTTTCATGAAAAAGAGTATAAGCCTAGGATACTGTTCTCCAAACCGAGACTCGTCCTTTTCATATGGTCAAAGATCAGAAGGATATAGTCCTTCGTAAGGATACTAGCGGTGATTTGGTTTTCCGTATAAAAAGTCATTTTTCTCGTTCACTACCCACTGTATGGCATTGTGCATTTTATAATACAGTTCGATTATGTGTATTTTTTGCTATGTTCACCAATATGACATTGTACAGTAATATGTCATTGTGTCAATATGTCATTGCGCATTTGGTAATACAGCTAAATCAAGCTATGTTCATCCATATGTCATTGTGCATTTTATAATCCAGTTCAATTATTTGTATTTTACGCCATGTTCACCAATGTTCACTAATATGTCATTGTGCATTTGATAATACAGTTTAATTTTGTGCACTTTACACTATCTTCACCGATATCATTGTGTATTTGATAATACAGTTTAAGTTAAGTAGGTGTTTTCATGTTCACCAATATGTCATTGTGCATTAAGAAAATATAGAATTTCAGCAAGGGTGCATTGACATAACATGGTGGCATAAATGATGTTATCCCGTTACTAAGTCATTTGACAATGGTGTATGTCCCCATATTAAATCAATGCATCCTTTTTGAATTCCTCATTTTCTCAGAAGAAATCAAGATGATCGAATTTCAACAAGTGGATTTATGTACGTGAGTATTGCTAGAATCAATTTTTAATAGTTATTTTTAATAGTTAGAATAGAGGTTCTTTGAAAGGCCAACTTAAAAATAAGTCCTTTTTGAAATTCTTGTTTAGAACTAAATAATATAGCATGTCTTACCGAGAAAGAAGCTTGCTTCGTTTTTGAAAACATCTGTATTTTCAACAACCCATGTCATTCCTCGACCACCTACATGACGCACATGTTTTGCATTCGCTGCTGATTCAATTGCATATGTCCCCGGGAAATATTCGTCTTTTAGCAGCCTGAAAGTCGAGGCGTGTGCCCAGTCAACTGCTCCAGCCGACTCATTCTCTATGCTAAGGTACCCGTTGAAGCTTCGTAGGAAATATCCAGGCCTGGCCTTGTACTCAAGAGATACAGTATCAGCTACGAGGGTGTTACCTGGTGATTTAATGGTCCACAACACAAGTTCATTATTTGTTGGCGGGTCGGACCACACCTGCATATTTTCTCTGGCATATAATGCATATTTCGGAAGGTTTTTCGCACGGATTGCCACCGATGTACCTATTACTTAAAACCAAACATATACATATTAATGTAAAAAAAGTGGGCAAAAATATTAATGTTTTACTTTGATATAATTCAACTTTTAAAAGTGCCTGAATTTCGCCGTATCAATGATATAATTACTTTTGAAAATGCATGAATTTCGCCATATCAATGATTTAGTTACTTTTGAAAATGATTGAATTTCGCCATATCAATCATATAATTACTTTTGAAAAATGCATGCATTTCGCCATATCAATGATTTAGTTACTTTTAAAAATGATTGAATTTCGCCATATCAATTATATAATTACTTTTGATAAATGCATGAATTTTTGCCATATCAATCATATAATTACTTTTGAAAATACATGAATTTCGCCATATCATAAAAATTACTTTTGAACAATTTTACATTTCTCTGATTTTAGTAATACTCCGAACTATTGTAACAGCAGATTGACAAATCATTCAGTCTGTTAGAGACAAGTGCCGTCGGTTGCTACACGGCTGGAATTTTTTATATGTACCTGATGACTCAGTGAGCGTGGCTAACGTACACAATATCAGGGCGACAGACACCCAACCCTGAAACGTCAATGAGTAAACATTAAAGCTGGCATATACAGGGTGTCAAATAAGTCCCGTCCCCCCTCTACAGCCAAAACCAAGATATTTGGTACCAAGTGTGATATATCATTGGAAAGGTCTTCCAAAGTTACGTTGATTAGAATATATCTGACACATGTCAACCAATCTCACAAAATTTTACATTGTATCAATTGAGGTGACCATAGGCCTATAGAAACATGGCAATTTGGCGTATTTGGCAGGATTTTAAGAATCGGGTATAAGAACAGTCAAAGGACCAAAAGATGACTAAATATGTATATGGCAATGCATTTAACCAATTGCTGGATAGGGTTAGCTGTGTAGAAAATAAAAGTGCAAGGAAAGTGGTGAAAATCTTTTTGTATAACAAGTGGAATGCGAAAAAGATAAACTTTTTGACGTTTTTCTGAGGTCATATCCTTGTCATTTTGACGATAAAAGCTGCTTAAAGGAGGGCACATTAACTATAAAGGACATCATCGAAATATAGGTAAATTTCATCCAAAATACTTGAGAGTTGGTGAGTTAACATAACTTTGGATGATCTTTCCAATGGTGTATCACACTAGGTACCATCTATTAAGGTTTTTGCTGTAGCAGGGAGGACGGGACTTATTTGACACCCTGTATGATCGAATTTTCAATGTTAATGTTTGATGTTGTCTCTCATAAGTCGGCAACGACTGGATGTACTAAATTCAATTACCTGTTGTTGTGAGATCTAAACATATACAATTAATATTCATGAGTACATACACAGCACTGTTGATTTCCTGAAACCCTATAATATAAGGTATAATTTTCTTTTTCACATTGCTATTAAATCATGCATTGCTTAATCCGTTAAAACTAGAAAGATACAGGTGTAAAAGGCTAGGAGGTCCTATCAAATTAGGGTCTCACTCTCCATTGATTTATATGGTGACCTAAATACAACTCTTTACCTTATTATCTTATACACAATCAGGGCCAGTAAGGGCCTAAAAGAAAGGGAACCATAATTCCCAGGGGAAAGATGGCAGTAGATAACGTAGAGAGTAGTAGAGATAAAAATTAATGTGCACAAAGATTTCTCATGTCATTGCATATTTCATTCTACTAAGATGTTTGATAAGCCGATTTGGGTTGGGTTGTAATTTCTCTAACTTTGTTTTGTATTTTATTCCATTGATTTTTGTTAACGTATCACTACTGATAAATAATAAATAAACTTAACTACATTCGCATTCAGCAACCAAGAGACCAATATTTGTTATTTTTTGTTTTTTGTTATTGTTTAGTGTTTTTTTAGTTATTAGGTATATGTGAGGGAATTATTCATGAATCCGTTTTTTGTTCTGCGTCCAGATCTATTGTTCTAAGCAATGTCAATGACGTACAAAATAGTTGTCAAAACACAAACAAATGAACTGAATAATAAAATATACTTCTGATGTGATAAAACACTTTCAGATCAGTGGAGCATATAAAGTGGTATTGTAGTGCAGCATTTATATATCATCTAAATATCTAAGCACAAGTGCCAAGGTGAAAGGACCTAAAAGTTGTAATTGAACTTACCCTACTATCACACCAAACTAGTTCTCACTACGTTCTCGAAAACGGGCTTCAACTGTGTACGAACGGACTGGACATACTAAGAACCGTTTGGGATCTATTTACAAACTTCATCGAACGTACTCTAACGGATAGGTCCTCTAGAACTTAGAACATGCTCAAAATGTTCTCTTGGTCGTCACGTTCTACAATTAGAACGAGTGACAACGTACTAACGACGAGCTGGACGTACAACGAACGGAACCGTCGTACTTCAATCCTACTAGGGACGTTTTAACAACGAGTTGAACTGTCTGAGGACGTGTTGAGAACGAGGTAGAACTAATTGCAAACGGGTTTAAACTGATTAAGAACGTATTTTACACTGCTTATGAACGAGGTAGCAAAAATATAGCTATCACACCAAACAAGTTGCCACTGCGTTCTTCAAAACTGGTTTTAAACTGTGTGCGAGCGGAATGAACGTAGCTGCTACTGTCTAAGGTCTATTTACGAACTTTATGAACGTTCTCAGACGGGAATGTGATTTTAGAATTTTGAATCGATTCAAAATTCGATGGCGACCACACCGTTCTGTAATCAGGTCATGTTGACCTTCTGGACTAAGGGACGCGTTCTACGACGTTGCACACCGACGTGGTGCGACCTGAACGAACTGCGAACGAGATGGACGTATTGAAGATTGTTTAAGAACGAAGAAGCTAATTATTTCAGACATATTTCCCGACCACAGCCAGATTGAGCCCGTTTTACAACATTTTCGTAGGACTGGCAAGAACGGGTAAGAACTAGAGTTTGGTGTGATAGGGGGGTTAGCAAGAAAACGAAAACTCTAAGTGCATACCACCAGTCAAGAAAAACAAACCCCATATCTCCCAAAACCATTATTTAACGTGAAAAGAAGCAATATCTAATACCCCCTTTCCCCCATCATTCAAGAACCGATATATATATTTGAATAGCATCTATATAATTATGTTCTATTTAATTATATTCATAAGTAAAATAATTGTGTGGAGGACTTTACATAGACTTATACAGAGGTCTAACTAGCAATTTAAAAAATCATCGGTTTTTGAAATGATGTCGCTATAATTTTCTTAAAAGATTAAAATACATACACCATTCTAAAAACATTCGAGCTACAATATCTCAATATCTCATGTCAATTTTGTTAAAATGAAATAAAAACTATGCAATATTATTGAACAGGTAGTTCACTCTATTGAGAGGAATACCCGTGTCGTATCTTTCACAAATTATTTCTCACGAAGCCCGGGGGCGAATGGAATATCATCTTTTGAATGTGTCCAAGGTAATCACTGAAGGTAGAGTGAAAAATTTGTTTTATTATATCATTGTCTGTCATTGTCTGTTGAAATCGTTATATATGAAATCATGCATGATCGAATCTTCAGTGATCCCCTGTCTTGATTTCTTACTTCACAACAATTGCTATCATTCTGTGATCAGTTCATGTTTTTTTCACATATTGTAAGTGTATCGTTCGAATTCCCAGTTGCCTCCATTCAATCAACAAAAACTGTCATCGAACGATTATCCAATTCACCACACCACCATGGCATAAAATTACCTGTAGAATAGTATGAAAAATAAAGATGCAATACTTACAATTAACTGGAGGTCCATGTTCACCGCATGCGCCTGCCCAAGCTTGATTGATGCAAAACACTTTCAACGAATTTGCTATGACGCATGACATCACCAGATATCATTTATTATTGAAACTGTCGATGAACTCTTTGTTTTTATAAATAATAAAATAGGGTGACAGCGAGCACTGTAAATTCATTGGTGAAATAAATTATTTAGACTATGAAAAATTATTAAATGATCCTCTCTTATTACTTTATAAGACTGATTCTGGCGAACAAAATTGGACGATGGAGTTTCGAAGTATATTTTTTATAATACGATACTTATGTACATAAATAATAGTTGGGATAATATGTACGTATATACATATTCTACATATGTTGTTTTATGGGGCTGAGGTATGGGGCTTTATCAACAATACAAAAATAGAAAAATTACATTTAAAGTTTTTAAAGTATATCCTTAAAGTCAAAGCATCAACACCACATTTTATGGTTTATGGTGAGTTAGGGAGAATGCAATTTAGGGTAAAATTTGATTTATATATATTAAAATATTTTTTATAGATTAAGCTCTAACAATGAAAAAACGCTCTCAGCAGAGATGTACAAAATATATAGAAGTTATTTTGATAAAAAATCGAGTGAAGTCTGACTGGCTGAATTATGTTAAGAAGTCATTGATTAATCTTGGTATGACAAACATTTGGTTAAATCCTGGTAGTTCGCGTTTTTCAAAATTTGTTAAAACGGTAAAATTAAGGCTAGAAGACCAGTTCAGGCAATCATGGGAAAATGACGTTAGTAATAGTAACATAGGTTTTAATTATAGAACTTTTAAAACAGAATTCAAGTTTGAAGACTGATTATTTTCACTGCCTCAAAATATAGAGTCATTTTATCAAAACACACAATGTACAACACAAAATTACCTATTGAGAGGGGTAGGTAAAGAAATGTAGAAAGAAATAGGAGATTTTGTGAACTATGTAATAACAATTCATTAGGAGATGAATTTCATTTTATATAAGAATGTAAGTCTGTTAAAAGCATTAGAAAACAATATTTACCCCAATATTTTTGTCAAAACAATAGTACTTTTAAATATGCCAAGCTGTTACAATCTGATAGTAAAGTATAGTTAGCTTTATGTAAGTTTCTAAATGAGGCTGGGAAGCAATTGTAAATATGTTTGTTATGAAATACTTAATTGTTATATACTTATTTACTGTATGTACTTTTGCCTAATACCCTTTATTTGGGTGATGGTATAATAAATAAAATTGAAAAATGAAAAATTGTATCTCGTTCAAAAGTGTTTATAACAAACAAATTGTTTGAGTTATGATATTACAAAATTTCAATAAATTTATTATGTATCTTGCAACAGAGATAATTTAAAGCCAACAAAAAGTTCTAAAGGCAAGCCCAATGTCTTGTTTAATAACCCAGTTTCTTACTATTGAAAATGGATTCTAGCAATACTGTTCAACACGATAGATACAAAATCCTCAGAAGAACTAACGTTAATGGAGTCTTAATAAGGACAGTCGCATGGGATAGTATTGGTGGAATCCATTTTAAATAGTGGGGGTTCTTAAACAGGACATTTAAGCTTACTAAGGCCTTTTTGAAATATTTGGTTAGTTCTAATTTGTTTGTCTATATATTCTGTATATCTAGGTGCCTATGTTCTACTGTTTCGTTAGTTGCAAATTTGTTTTCGCTTATCCCGATTACTGATTTATTTAAAGAACGAGGCTGTTTATTAGTCTTTCAAATGCATAATGTTGAAGATACAAA